CGCGGACGTGCCCTTGAGCAGGTAGTCCGAGTGGGCGAGCCTTTTAAGAAGACCATCACCGCGTCGGCCCCCTTGGCGTGGCCACAGAGCGCCTGGTTTGAATTAATGGTTAATTAATAGTGAAGTAGCTCGCCCCCCCTTGGCGTGGCGAGAGAGCGCCGGGTCGCGCACGACGTTGCGCGTCGCGTAGCCCGACCCGCGCGAGAGGATGGCGCCTGCAGGAAGGTTCCGGGAAGGCTCCGCGAGATGGCTCGAGGAGGCCGACTGCCCGCGACGGCGGCGTCTGAGTCCATGGGCATGGCGCGAGGACACGATTTAGCTCGGCAGAGGCCCAAGGGGGGGGGGGTATGGGGAGATAGGGGGAGACATGTAGGGCGGCGGAGGCTGGGGGGGGAGGAGGAGTCGGCGCCAGGGTAGCGCTTCTGCAGCGCGGCGTGGTAGCGCGCATCGTCGGTGGCGAGGAGGATGCGCGAGCCTACCATACCTCCAGAGTCTCGAACCCAGTGTGGGTTCAGGTCATTGGGTGGTGTGGGAGGATGCGCGAGCCGGGGTGCGCGGCGAGGAAGCCGTCGATCGGCGCGAAGAAGCGCTCGAGCGGGAACTTTGGGTGGGCGGCCTGGGGGGGGGGGTGATAGGGGGAGATAGGGGGAGATAGGGGGAGATAGGGGGAGATAGGGGGTGATAGGGGGAGTAGGGGGAGATAAGGGGGAGATAGGGAGAGATGGGGGGGGATGCGGCACTGTGCACGGTATCCGAAGCACCGTCTGGATTCAAGGGGCTACGAGTGCAGCTGAATACGGCGGAAGGCGGCCGAGCACAGTTGAGTGCGCGTCCTCTCGAGCGCTAGTTCGAACACAAGGACACGCATTCCGCTTCTAGCGCGGGCGGCCTTGTCGGTTCCTCGGGCGTGCACCCCCAGCAGCCTCCCCCCCGGAGGCAGCGAGGAGCGCCAGCGCTGCAGCAGCTCCGCAGCCTCCGTGCGCAGCGCCGGCTTGACACGCAGCCATGTGCCGACCAGCTTGGCGCCTGCAGCCCTCAAGAAAAGAAACGCGCGTCGGGAAGAGAAACATGGCGGCTCGTGTGCCAACTAGCGCTGCGCCTACAGGCACGTCCGCCCTCAGAAAAAGAAACACGCCGTGGCGAGGCAGAGGCAGAGGCAGAGGCGGGCGAAGGGAGATGGGAGGAGGCCCAATGGGTAGGCGTGGCGAGGCAGAGGCAGACGCTCCAAGGGTGGGCGATGGCTAGCAACACAATCCTCTCCTTAATATCCCTGTGTGGTGGCGGCGTGTGCCGTCCTCCCCTCCCCTCCCTCTGGGTTGTGCGTTTTCTTTCTTTCTTTAGAGGCGGGCGCCGAACGCGCGCACGCGTGTTCGGATGGCGTGCAGCTCCTGTTCACAGCGGGAGGTGTGAAGAGACGCTGTGAACACAGCGGGAGCTTGAAGTCGCGGAACGAGTCGCCTGTTCACAGCTGGCGGTGTGAAGAGACGCCGTCCACACCGCGGCGTGCGGATGGCGTGTGCGGACTCCTCGGAGTAGCGCTTGAACTCAAAGTAAGACGTGACCGCGTCGCCGGCGGTGCGGATGGCATACCTAGACACTTCCGAGACACTTCCCAGACACTTCACGTGCCGGCCGGCGGTGCGGAGGGCGTACCTGAGGAGAACTTTCCCTGAGCTTTCCCTGAACTTTCTTTGAACTTTGCGTCGCCGGCGGCGCGGATGGCGTACGAGAAGAGCAGAGGTTCGAATCTCGGCGAATCTCGGCGAAGGGATATCTCGGGCTTCTCTGTCCATATCGGGCGGGCCGTCGAGCCTAATCTCGGGAATCTTGAGGAATCTTGAGGAATCTCGGGGAATCTCGGGGAATCTCGGGGAATCTCGTGCCGGCGCGCGTCCTCCACCGACGCGGAGAAGAGGCGCACGGGGCGGCCGCCTACCGCACCACCCACGGGACTGAACCCACACGCTGGACTCGATCTCGCTGGAGGTATGGTGGGGCGGCCGCCCAGCGTCGCTGCGCCGGTCGTATACTCGGACACGGGCTCGAAGTAGTAGTCCCAGACGTTAGGGCCGCGGCCGCGCTCGTAGTACTGGTTCTCGCCTACTTTGAATGGTACCATCCTAGCTCGAGAGCGCGCCGTACTTGCAAGAGAGCGGTAGTACTGGTTGTCGCCCACGTCGCAGGCGTCGGGTGCGTTGAAGACCTGCGCCGAGAGTGCGCCGCGATTACCCCGAGGTAACGCCGAGGGAACCCAAGCGCGTTGAAGACCTGCTGGCCGAGAAGTGTCTCGGAAGTGTCTCGGAAGTGTCTAGGAAGCGTTGGAGACAGCGCGCGCGGCAGAGCCGTCTCTGCTCTCCGCTACCAACCTTGTGGCCGAGGAAGACGTGCGGCGTGAGTCCGCGCTCCGCGGCGAGGTGGAGCTGGTTGAGGACGCGCTCAACCTGGGCAAAGAGGCCGTGGTTGTTGTGATCCGAGACGACCAGCAGCACGCCGCGAGGCGCGCTCCCCAACACACTCAGCGGACGCCACGCAGGACTTATCCTCTGCGAGATGGGCACGAGCGGCGTGCTCGAGCACTGCAGCACCGACCACGTGTCGCGCTTGTACGGATCGCCAGGGCACTGCGCGCACGGGACGCGACCGGCGCGCTCTCCAAACTGCCGTGACCCGTACCCATCACACACCGTGCCGTTGGTCGCCGAGCGCCCGACGAGCTCGCCGATGCGTGGCCAGCGCGAATCGGCGCCGTCCTGGGAACCCGGTCGCCAGCTCTGCTTCACCACGTCGTACCACACGCAGAACTCCTCGGCAACCATTAACACGGTGCCGGATTACTGTGCCTTCCCCGGGCACAGCCTTTGGCGCGTGAAGGGTTCCGGGCTCCTTTGCCGTCTCTGACCCTCCCGTGCTGCCCGTGCTGCCCCCACACCCTGTCGTAAAAATTCTTTTCGTAGTGAACCTGTGTTAGTGCCAGTGCGCGCCAGTCCCGTGCCCAGTGTCGTGCGAGGGAGTTGGCTCGTAAAATTCTTTTTCTCGCGATGTCCACCCCGCCGCGCCGCCGCTCGCGCCGCCTCGCCCCCGCCGCCGCCGCCGCTCCCTCGCCAGACACGCCGCCGCCCACCCGCCTCCTCGACCTCCCCACGGACCTCCTCGTGCGCGTCGTCTCTCGCTGCGACCCCGCCGACATCGCTCGCGTCGCGGCCGTCTCGCTGCTCTTCCACGCCTCGCTCGCGGAGCAGGGCATCCGCTTGTGGGCGCAAGAGCGCGGCTTCGAGCTGCCGGCGCAGCCAGAGGGCGAGAGCTGCGCCGTGCGGTGGCTGTGCTTGTCGGCGCTGCTGTGCGAGTCCAACCCGCCGGCGAGGGCGGCAGCAGGCGTGCACCACAGCCTCTTCATCGACGGCGAGGGGCGGCTCTCGTCGTGCGGCTCTGCGCCGGAGTGGAATCCAGCGCTACTCGGTCACGGCGAGGGCGTGACACGGCTCAACACGCCGACCCGCCTCCCGTCGGCGCTGGGTGGCGAGCGTGCCGTGAGCGTGTCGGCTGGAGGATACCACAGCCTCTCCCTCACCGCCAACGGCGCCGTCTGGAGCTGGGGCTATGGAGCCTCTGGCCCGCTGGGCCACGGCGACGAGGAGGAGCAGTGGCAGCCAAAGAAGGTCGAGGCCTTTGCGGGCCAGCGCGTCGTCGCCGTGTCGGCTGGAGGTCTGCACAGCCTCGCCCTCACCGCTGGCGGCGCTGTCTGGAGCTGGGGCGATGGAGAGTTCGGCAGGCTGGGCCACGGCGACGGGCAGACCCAGCTGCTGCCCAAGAAGATCGAGGCCTTTGTTGGCCAGCGAGTCGTCGCTGTGTCGGCTGGACAGCACCACAGCCTCGCCCTCACCGCCGACGGAGCTGTTTGGAGCTGGGGCTATGGATGGCAAGGCAGGTTGGGTCACGGCGACCAGCAGAGCCAGCCGCTGCCCAAGAAGGTCGAGGCCTTTGCGGGGCGGCGCGTCGTCGCTGTGTCGGCGGGAGCCGAGCACAACCTCGCCCTCACCGCCGACGGCGCCGTTTGGTCCTGGGGCAGGGGAGGTTTGGGCCAGTTGGGCCACGGCGACGAGCAGCAGCAGCTGCTGCCCAAGAAGGTCGAGGCGTTGGCTGGGCGGCGCGTCGTCGCTGTCTCGCCTGGAGATGGCCACAGCATCGCCCTCACCGCCGATGGCGCCGTCTGGAGCTGGGGCTATGGAGGACACGGCCTGCTAGGCCACGGCGACGAGCAGCGCCAGCTGCTCCCCAAGAAGATCGAGGCCTTTGCCGGTCAGCGCGTTAACGCCGTGTCGGCTGGGCTGTACCACAGCTTCGCCATCACCGCCGATGGCGCTGTCTTTACCTGGGGCGAGGGCGAGGACGGCTGCCTAGGCCACGGAGAGGACCTATTGGACCAGCTGCTGCCCAAGAAGGTCGAGGCGTGGCCGCCCAGCACGCCCGCATCCGCTTGACTTGGATCTTGGAACGACGGAACCGCAAAGATCCTTGCAGGACAGCTCTATGCGCAGTTTGCAGGGCCGCGGGGCGCAGCGCGTCCCTCACCCCCGGCGTGTTCGTTTGCATTTACTTGTTTTCTGCTCTCGCTGCTCGTACGGCATACGGGGTCCGCCGAAATTGGGGCCACCCTCGGCCTCGGGTCACGGGTGTCGCTCTCGTCACGTGCGGGATTTTTTTTCTATTCACAACACGGGCCCCGAACAGTGCGTCTCTTTTCTTCGAGCGACAGTGTGCGAGTGAATACGACGCCGCCGGCCCCGCGCGTAGAGCGTATGGGGTATGCGGCCCATCAAGACAGAACTACGAATCAGGGCGCGCACGCCCAGCTTGCGGAGGGGCACCGCGCCGCTGTTCTCCTCGAGGGGCCTCCAGATGTGCAGCAGCCCCCAGAGCGAGTTTTGGACCTGCTCCTGCTCGCTCAGCTGGTACGAGAAGCGCGGCCCCTTTGGCGTCTCGAAACGAACGACGTCCTTCTCGCCCGCCGCCGCCGGCGTGAAGGCGAAGAGGCCCTCGCGTCGATCAGCTGCTGCGCCACGCGGTAGTCTGCCTCGAGGGTGGCGGCGTCGGCGTGCACCTGCTCCCAGCCGCAAGGCGTGAGGAGGCGCTGTGCCCGCGGCTCCGCCTCGAGGAGCGGGCGCGGCGTGCGCCAGGTTGAAGCAGCCGTGCACCGTCATCGCGTCGACCGTCTGACGGATGCGGCAGCCAACCTTGATGCACGGCGCGCAGTACTCCCCGAGGAAGGAGGGGAGCGCGCGGATCCGCGCCAGCTTCTCGTGGTGCACCTGAGGCGCGCGGGAGGGGCGGCGAGGGTGAGCCGTCGCGAGGCGCGCCGCTGCCGCCGCCGGAGCCGGGATGGCGCGGCGCTCACCGCCGTGATGGTGCCGTCGGCCGGCGAACGGATCGTCACCCACGCGCCGTGCTTGAGCAGCGGCGAGCGTGGCGTGGCGGGGAGCGACGCGAAGGCGGGCGGCGCAAAGGCGGAGTCGCACAGCGCCGAGACTTGCGTGTGTAGCCGAGGCAGGCGTGGCCTCTGCTATCGGCAGCCAGATCCCCTCGCCGCCGTGCAGCCGGCAGTTTACCTGAGCCGAGGACGACATACGCCGAGATGGGCCGAGATGCGCCGAGATACGCCGAGATACGCCGAGATGCAGCCGGCGGATGTACACCTCGACGAGGACGGGTCCGCGCGCCGTCGCCATGATCTCGGAGTGCATCGCGCCGTCGGTGATGCCGAGCGCGTCTAGCACCGCCGTCACGTACGCGACCATGCCGCGCAGCAGCGGCTCGTCCGCCTCGACGTTGTGCAGCCGCATCCCGTGGTAGACGACGGGAGAGCCGTGGTAGTCGCGCTTGTCGTACTTCCAGAGCGCGACCACCTTGTGCTCGCCGGCGCGGCTGACCGTGTCGACGACCCACTCGTCGCCCTCGAGGTACTCTTGGCAGAGGACGGCGTAGTTGTCGAGGCCGAGGATGTTCTTGGTCCCCTCGAGCTTGCCAAACGCCAGCCGCACCTAAGGCCGGGGCAGGCCGGGGCAGGCCGGGCGTCAGCGGAGTCGCACACGGCGGACTCGGCACATGCACTCGTGCATGTGCATGTGCATGCACCTCCGCCGCCGAGTTGCAGATTGTCACCCCGTCCGAGCCGGCCCCCTCCACCGGCGAAGGAAGGGTCCGGGAGGGGTCCGAGAGGGGTCCGAGACAGGCGGGATTGCCTATACTCGGTAAAAACCATCCACTTGTCTTGTTTTAGCATGCCTCGCCACTCGTGGGCGCGGTGCCCCCCCATGCCAAGTACAACAGTCCTTACTGGACACTCAGCTCCGAACACAGCACGCGCGACACTGATGTTTTGCAAATCTACCATAAACTGGGACGACGCAGCGGGGGGGATAGACGAGGGAGTCGAGGGGCCGGAGGGCTTTCGCGACAGCGACGATGACGACGAAGAAAGGGGAGGAGACGGAGGGGCGACACGCAGGAGGGGCGAAATCGCTAACGGCCCGAGCAGAGAGGGCGACGGCGGGTCACGAGGGAACAACGGAGACGCTACCGATGACGCGAACCGAGGCACGGACGACGGAGGGGACGGGGAGGGCGACAGCGACGTCGAGGTTGACGCAATCGTATCGAGAGCGCCACCCAAAAGGAGGCGGACAGCCATGGAGGTCACCAAACGGAGGGCGAACGGCACTGATACGAAAAGGCAGGGCGAGGCGGATGGAGAAAGAAGTGCCGAGAAGGCCCGATGGTGGAGGGGAGGGATGGGAGGACGAAAGAAGGGCGAGGAGGATGAGCGGCCCGCACAGACCGCGAGCAGACAGCGCCTGCTGGCCACTTCGAGACATTCGCAAAGAACGCTAGCTAGTAGCTACATGGGAGGGCTTCGTGAAGGATGGATTTGTGACGGCGGAGTTGACGCCTCCGACGGTCGTAGCGGCGTGGCTGAGGGCGGCGGTGGAGGCGCCCGATAGCGCGGTGAGGATGGTCTCATGGGTCTAGCAAACCATAGACGGCACCAAGAGAACGCGAGGTAAAACCCGACGGCTATGGATGGTAAAAGGCGGCGGTAAAACCCATCCACACGGGTTTCGGTGGGTTGGATGGGAGGTAGAATGTCTACCTACCGCACCCCCCCCAATGTCGCTGGGCGGGATCGGCCCGCAGAGGCGGCATTGCTCAGTTCCCCCCATGCACCGCGCGAGCCCGCGCGTTGGAGGCGTGGTCGACGCTGCGCTTGAGCTTCTCCTTGGGGACCCATTTCGTCAAGAAATCGGCGGGCATGAGGTCGTCGGTGATCTTGACGACGCGGCACTCGCCGTCGGCCATGCGGCGCTGCAGCGTGTGGTAGCGGCGCAGGAAGTGGCGCGAGCGCGAGGCGGATTTGGCGTTGTTGGCGACAAGGACGTTTGCCTTGTTGTCCGAGAGGATGACGGTCGGTCCGGTCGGCGGGGCGCCGAGGGCGACGAGGACCTCGCGGGCGTATGCGACGAGCTCGCCCGCTTTGGCGCTGGCGATGGCCTCGCTCTCGTGTGAGGAGTCGACGACGAGGCCGATCTTCTTGACGCTGTGCATGACGGCAGCGCCAAAGCAGGTGAGCAGCATGCCATAGAGGTCGAGGTCGCCGTTCCAGGTGGCGTCGGCGGCGGCGACGAGCTCGGTGGGCGCGTGCGAGTCGAGCCCGGCGATGTGCGCGCTCATGCGGCCCTGCAACTCGGCCTCCGCGTCTAGCCCGCCGTACGTGATGCCGTCGTGCTTGCGGTCGTAGGCGGTGCAGAGCGCGGCGCGCGCTACCTCGTAGGCCTCGGGCGGCGGCGCCGACATGACGCACGAGAGGCGGTGGAGGACGAGGGAGAGTCGCGGCTGCACGCGCTCGACGAATTTGAGGTGGCCGATGATGCTCTGTGTGCGCACTTGCTGGGGCGACAGCTTGCCGTCGCGGTCGGCGAGCTTGAGCGAGTCGGCGGCGTCGGCGAGGCGCTTGCCGCTGAGGACGGTCGGACGCTCGCCGCGGAGGAGCTCGGGCATGTGTTCGCGTGCGGCCTCGATGATCTTCTGCGGCATGGACAGCGTGAGGGTGCGCCGCTCGCGGTCGCGCTCGAGCTTGAAGCCGGCGAAGGAGGTGGGCGAGTAGTCGACCTTGACCTCGTCGTTGAAAGCGGCCTTCAGCGCGGCGATGGTGGCGTCGGTGATGGTGGTGCCGTTCACCTCGGAGATGAGGAAGTCGTCGACGATCGTGATCATGCGGGCCTCTCCGTGCTCCCCATGGAACGCGAACATCGCGGGGACACCCGGGCACGGCACCCACCCTAGGCCTTTGATGGTGTCATTGAACGTGCACTCCCACTCGTAGCCAGCGCACTCCTCGCCCCAGAGAGGTGAACAGAGCTCGATGCACAGCTCGGTCCCGTCCTCGTCGGTCATGGGTAGCGTGGACGGGAGCGCCATGTAGCCGACGGGCCCCTGTCGCTTGCCCTTGACATAGGCGTTCCCGACGTCTCCCTTGGTCAGGTGGGCATCGACGGCGGCGGCGTGTCCGACGAACAGCTTGGCGGTCAAGTCGTCGACAACGGTAGAGGTAGCCGGGACGCCCGACGGTGGTAGGCCGGCGCGGGCGCGTTGGACCTTGGCGAAGCCGCCGTCGGCGGAGTGCCGTGACTTGTGGACCGCGATCAGAGCTGATACCATGTTGTGACGGCGGAGTTGACGCCTCCGACGGTCGTAGCGGCGTGGCTGAGGGCGGCGGTGGAGGCGCCCGATAGCGCGGTGAGGATGGTCTCATGGGTCTAGCAAACCATAGACGGCACCAAGAGAACGCGAGGTAAAACCCGACGGCTATGGATGGTAAAAGGCGGCGGTAAAACCCATCCACACGGGTTTCGGTGGGTTGGATGGGAGGTAGAATGTCTACCTACCGCAGGATTGAAATACATTCGAACAAAGAAGAGGCGACGGGAGGAACCGGCGGAGGATGCAGTGACGTGACACACACACACACACACACACACACACACACACACACACACACACACACACACACACACACACACACACACACACACACACACACACACACACACACACACACACACACACACACACACACACACACACCGCGCTCACCCACGCGCACTGGGCCTTGCACTTCTCTAGTCATCAACCGCACTTGGAGCACTTGGAGTGCAGTTATTAGCCTCACATCCAGGGCCGGGGAGCTAAGAAGCCGCACGTCCACGATGATTCAACGCGCGGTCCATCCTCGTGCGTCCATTCGGACCGCCGCCCGCTGATGAGGTCGGGACCGGAGGCGGAGGCGCAGGAGACGGCCGGCGCAAGTCGGCTGCCCCTCCTGCGCGGATTTCTTTTCGTTGCCCTCCTCCTCGCCTCGGCACTGGCCTTGGCCGCAGGCACCCCCATGCGCTCATATACGCTGCCAGTGTTAGCGCGGGGCGACTGTCGCCCAACATCTTCCCTCCTCAGGCGGCGCGACGCCTGGAGGCCTGTTGCTCGGCAGCTCTTCCCCTTTCGAGAAGCAGTCTCGTGCTGCGGAAACGGGGAAGGTGTCCGGCAATAGTCTCCAAATATAACAGTGGCGAGGCAAACGAGGAGAGCGTCACTACCCTCTCTACCCTCGCTCTTGCACACCCGGACCACAGGCAGCTGCTATGACCGCGGCGAACAAGGCGGCGCCCAGGAGCAGCCGAGAGGCATGTCGCGCCCCCGCCTCTCAGCCTGCGTGCCGCTATCCCTCTCGCTCATCCGTTCGTTCGTTCCGCCCTTTCAGGCGAAGAAGCAGGCGAGGGCGAGGGCCATACGAGCCAACCGCGGCTGCGGCTGGTTGGCACAATATTTGGGTTCCTGCTAGCGCGCAACGGCGCGATGAACCGCGAAGCGCGAAGGCGGGGGCGGTATTATTCTAGGGAGAGAGACGAGACTCGGAAGAACGGAACCGCTCACATGTCCTGTCACGAGCGTCGAGCCCACGCGCCACGGGGATCGAAGTGGCCCGAGGCCGAGGGGCAGCTGCGCCAGGGGAAACAATCTCAAAGATCCGCCCTCGAGCCCTCGCGCACCTCATAGAAGCACAATGGCAGAAAAAGTATGTATAGTGCAAAAGTCGGTTCCGATTCAGACACAGAGCAGTCAGCACTGCACTGTGGACCGCCCGCAGGCAGAAACGCGCACATATTATGAGAGACCCGACCCCGAGATGCAAGGCGATAGAGATGAAACGGGACAGCTCGCTCAAAGCAGCACGGCAGCAATATTTCCGAGCCGGGCGCGGCGGCACTTTGACAGAGGCGGAGAGGGGGAGGGCAGAGCCGCTGCTTGGCTCGCGGGGGGAGGGTGCTGAGCTATGCGACCAGCAGAGCAGAGACGAGACGAGAGGACGATGCGTGGCGGCTCGGAGAGCAGAAGAAGCGAGGGCGAGACCGCGCGGGAGAAGCGACGGCTCCGTCGAGACTGGCTCAGGCGAGGGCTCCGTTGAGCGCCTGTGGCCGGCCGGCAGGGGTGGGGGTTTGGGTCCTGGGATCGGGGTTTGGGTTTGGGTGTGGGCTTTTGGTTTCTGGTGTGCATGTGCGCTTGCGTTTGGGGTTTGGGATCGGGGTTGGGGTTGGGGTTTGGGTGCTGGGATCGGGGCTTGGGATCGGGGTTTGGGTCTAGGTAGGGACTGGTGCGGGTTCGGGGGCTGGGTGCAGTGCATGCACCCAGAGCCAAGAGAGGCGAGGCCCCGCCACTAAGGCCGCAGGGCGGGGAGCCGCCCTTCTCTCCATGGGGGGGGTGGGGTGTGTGTGGGGGGGGGGGGGGGCCCACCCAGAAACCTAAGGGGGGGCGGGGGGGTTCAACTCAAAACCGGAAGGGGCCAAGGCGGGGGAAAAGGGGGGGAAAATGTCCAGGAGGTGACTAGCATGGCCCCGCCTGCGCGATCCGCTGCAGGATCGCCTTGAAGCCTGGGTCGTCGCGCGCGCCTAACACCGCACCACCCACGGAGCCCTGAGCCCACGCCGGATTCGACCCCTCTGGAGGTATGGGAGTAGGCGGGGTCGTCGTCGCGCACCGAACTTCTCCACGGCCGCCATCACCTGCTCGACAGTCAGCCGAGATGCGCCGAGATGAGCCGAGATGCGCCGAGATGAGCCGAGATGAGCCGAGATGAGCCGAGATGAGCCGAGACGAGCCGAGATGAGCCGAGATGAGCCGAGATGAGCCGAGATGAGCCGAGATGTGCCGAGATGAGCCGAGATGAGCCGAGATGAGCCGAGATGAGCCGAGATGTGCCGAGATTAGCCGCCATCACCTGCTCGTCGGTCACGCCGTACTTTGCATGCACCTGCGCGGAGATGCGGCCCTGCACCGCCGCCAGCGCACGCGGGTCGACTTGGACCTGCGGGCCATGAGATAGCCGAGATCTAGCCGATATCTAGCCGAGATCTGGCCGAGATCTAGCCGAGATCAGCGCCCGCGGGTCGCTTTGACCTGCGTGCCGGACTGCCGCTGCCGCGCCGCCGCCTAGTTGAAGCGTCTCGGGAGCGTCTCGAAACTCGGAAGTATCTCAGAAGCGTCTCGGAAGGGTCTCGGAAACGTCTCGGAACTGTCTTTGCGCCTCCTTGATCGGCAGCAGCTCCTTCTCCAGAAGAACCTGCTCCCCCACACACCTCGCTCTGTGACACGCGTCTGGCGCATCTCGCACCTCGGCTGTATCTCCTCGGCTGCCTCTCGGCGGCTGCCTCTCGGCTGCCTCTCGGCTGCACCTCGGCTGCCCCTCGGCTGTGTCTCGGCTGCCTCTCGGCTGCACATCGGCTGCCCCTCGGCTGCCCCTCGGCTGCCTCTCGGCGACATCTCGGCGACATCTCGGCTGCATCTCGGCGACATCTCACCGCGTTGTATGTCATCACCTCCTTGAGCCGGTCTCGAGTGAGCGACTCTGGCAGCGGCGCAACCTGGCAGGACCGCGAGAGATGGCCGGGAGATGGCCGAGAGATGGCCGAGAGATGGCCGAGGGGCAGCCGAGAGAGTAGCCGAGGGGCAGCCGAGAGGCAGCCGAGAGGCAGCCCCGAGGCAGCCGAGAGGCAGCCGAGAGGCAGCCGAGAGGCAGCCGAGATACAGCCGAGAGGCAGCCGAGAGACAGCCGAGGAGGCAACCGAGGAGGCAGCCGAGAGACAGCCGAGAGGCAGCCGAGAGGCAGCCGAGGAGGCAGCCGAGAGACAGCCGAGAGGTAGCCGAGAGGCAGCCGAGAGGCAGCCGAGAGGTAGCCGAGAGGCAGCCGAGGAGGCAGCCGAGAGGTAGCCGAGAGACAGCCGAGAGCGAATCTCCGCGCCTCCTCTATCCGCGCCCGCCCGCTCCCCCCCTGCCCCGCGCTGCTGCGCCCGCGACCGCCGCCGCTCGCCCGCGCGCGCGCGCCGCCGCCGCCGCCGCGGCCGCCGCCGCCGCCGCCGCCGCCGTTCGCCTCTGCAGAGAGGCGCATCCCCTGGATCGCGGCCTGGACCTGCGGGCGGTGTGGTGGTGCGGTATGGTGACAGTGTAGTCAGTAGATTAGTAATAGTAGAGTATCAAACTATGGCATGGTGCAGGACCTACTGCAGGCAGTATGGAACAGTGAGTGTTAGGTAGAGTACAGCATAGCACAGGGTCGTGTAGCGTGGGCGGACCTGCGGGTCGGCCTGGTGCAGCTTGAAGCTGGCGTCCATGGCCTGCGGTCGTCAATACAATTCGTTGTTAAGCATGACTAGCTCGACTAGCTCGAATCTGGCGTCCGCTGGCCTTTCAGACAGCGGCGGGGAGCGGCCGAAGACGACAAATCACGGCGGGAGGAGCGGGCGCGTGTGGCGCTGGCGCCTGCTGCTGCTGACGCTACGAGAGGGTGCTACCGCCGCTGGTGCTGGCGAGGGCTGGCGAGGGTGCTGCCAGCTGCTGCCACTGTCGCGTCGCATCTACCCGTGGCCTTTTCCGAGACGCCGTACTGTCCGCGGATGGCGCCTGGAAAAAGAAAACAAGGAGGGGGAGGCTAAGGGAAAAGAAAAAACACTCCGGCGTGCTGCCGATGGATGGCGCCTAGGAAAAGAAAAACACGCGGCTGAGGAAAAAGAAAAAAACGCGCGCGTACTGCCTGCGGATGGCGCCGATCAGCTGCTCGAGGGAGTGCTCGAAGTTCTGCTGGAAGAGCATCGAGGCCTGCGAATTGGGAGGACGAGGCTGTGGATGGGGAATGGTGTGAAGGGGAGAGGTGTGAAGAGGCATCAGTGTGGTGGGAAGGGGCACATCCATTTATTAATTGAGAATTAATTGACGCCTGCTCGGAGAGATTGCGCGACTGTTTGATAATAATTAATAATAATTGAGAATGATTCAGACTTAGTTGGCGCCTGCTCGTCGGAGAGATTGCGCGACTCTTTGATAATAATTAATAATAATTGAGACTGATTGAGACTTAGTTGGCGCCTGCTCGTCGGAGAGATTGCGCGACTCTTTGATAATAATTAATAATTGAGAATGATTGAGACTTAATTGACGCCTGCTCGTCGGAGAGATTGCGCGACTCTTTGATAGTAATGAATAATAATTGAGAATGATTGAGACTTAGTTGGCGCCTGCTCGTCGGAGAGATTGCGCGACTCTTTGATAGTAATGAATAATCATTGAGAATGATTGAGACTTAGTTGGCGCCTGCTCGTCGGAGAGATTGCGCGACTCTTTGATAATAATTAATAATAATTGAGAATGATTTGAGACTTAGTTGGCGCCTGCTCGTCGGAGAGATTGCGCGACTCTTTGATAATAATTAATAATAATTGAGAATGATTCAGACTTAGTTGGCGCCTGCTCGTCGGAGAGATTGCGCGACTCTTTGATCTTGCCAACCTCGACGCGAATCCGCTGGATGACCGACTGGGGGCGCGGGGCGAGGGGGCGGGGGCGGGGGCGGGGCCACGCCGCGGAGGGCGGCGGAAGCGGAACAGGGGCTGCGAGCAGGCGGTGGGCGGTGGCGGGCGGGCTGCGGCGCGCCTTGCTGTGCTCCGCCGCCTTGTGCAGGATCTGCAGCAGCAGCTCCTTGGCGATGGGCTGGTCGCGCTCCGCAGCAGCGCGCTTCTTCGCCTTCCGCCGCGCCTGCGCCACCACGCCCGGATCAGCCGCTGCGTTCGCCAAACCGCCGCCGGCGCTTGGAGGCGCGCGCGTGGCTGGCAGGCGGGCGAGGGGGGCTTGGCTCTGACGCGCCTCGTGCAGCAGCACGTACACCGTCCCCAGCGTCACTACCCCGACGCCAAGAGCGAGGTTTTGGCCGAGTCCCATGCTTTGTCGCGCTGTTTGTCGCGCTGCTCGCGCCTCAAAAGAAGAATTCATGCCCACGTGACTGCATGCACGCCACACCCCTCTCCTTAAAATCCCTGTGTGGTGGCGGCGTGCCGTCCTCCCATCCCTCCCTGGGGTTGTCTGTTTTGTTTCTTTCTTTCTTTTACGCTGCCCGCACTCACGGACCCCATACCCGAAAGAAAGAGATAGGGGAGCTCGCGAGAGAGGTGACGAGTGAACTACAGGTAGTGGGGAAGGCAGCCTCGATTGCCGTACAGACATGGGTGCGAAACAACGACAAGACCAAGGCACGGGCAGAGGAACGAGAGAAGAATATAGGGTGGATAAAGCGCCTGTTCAGGGGCCGCATCGGCAACGGACACGCCCAGGGCGCGCCATGGACGCCTGAGGACGGGGACGGCAGAGGCGGGTGTTCGGGCGAGGGTAGCGTGCGCCTTTCGTCGGCGCAGTTGCCTCCGCCGCACCACTTCACGGCCGACGAGCTCGAGGCATTTGGCGACCGGATTTGTGTGCATGTTCTTGGCAGCTTCCAGCCAAAGGATGGCTCATCTTGCTAGGCGATGGGTGTGGACGTCTGCATCTGCCTTCTCGAGTTCTTCGGCATCGATCAGCCCTCGGCGCGCGCGCAGACCGTCGCCGAGCAGCGGCGCGTAGCGGCACGGCAATGTCGGCAAAGAATGTCGGCAAAAGGACATGGGTCTTACACTGGTAGGCGCGCGGCGGCCATGTCTGGCCAAGCCACCTCCGCGGCTTTGTGCGCCATTGAGGCGGCGGGCGCCGCGGCGGCATCGGCCACTGCAGTCGCTACGATGTCGCGTTGCCCCTCGGGGTTGCAAGATGAGATGCTTGCGACTCCTCCTCCGCCCCCACCGCCGCAAATCCGGGCGGCCTCGGCGTTGCTGCAAGGCCCGTGCAGCACACGTCGCTAGGCGAGTGGGCCGCGGCTCTTGACGCCGCGGGCAGCCACGGGCAGTCTCGCGTAAGCTCTGGCAATCTTGGGGAGTGGGCCGCGGCGCTCGACTCGGGCGAAGCTCTCGGCATGCCTGTGGGCGGCAGGGCGGCGCGTGAGGTTCCGCTGACGTCTCGGCGCAGGCGAGTCGCGAGCCCTTCCGTCGCCCTCGACGAGACGCCCGTCCATTTCCACGAGCCGCGGCGGCGCGGCGCGGCGTCCGGCACGCGGAGACAGGACAGCCTCGACACGCGCTCCTCTTCCGAGAGGCTCGAGCGACTCCTCGCGACGGCAGAGCGGCGTGCTGCTGTCGAGACGGGCAGGGCGCCTTTTGGACCTCGCCGACCTCTAAGCGCTGGTCAGAGATGAGTGCTGTCTGGTGCGTGTGTGTGTGTGTGGTGTCTGACTGTCACTGTTCCGTGTACCCTGTTCATCCTTTGATGTGCGTGTGTGTCGTGTGTGAGTCGCGTCAGTAACAGACAGCGGGTTTACACTCTCGACACTATCATCTATCAACATGTCGAACTTGGTTAGCCGTAACTTGCGTTTTTCAATTGTGTGACGTGTGACATACATGTGCATGCACATGCACATGCACATGCACATGTGCATGTGCGGGGTGCGGCATGGGGAGCTCGCGGGGCGGACGCAGCACCACCACCAGCGCAGGGCCAGCCCCACCCCCAGGCCCCCAGCACACCGAGCGCACGCACGCGCTCTCGGGGAGGGGCAGCGAAAATAGTGAGTACGAAATGGACAGGGCTGACACTTCTCATCAGTAAGTGAGTCAAGTGACTCCTAAGTCGATGCCACGCCCTCACTCCAGACCATGGGAACCGGCGAAGCTTCATGCGCAAGACCGCCGAAACACGTACTTTAGGGTGTGCAGAGTGTGAGGGGGCAGCAGCCGCGCTCAACCTCACGGGAAGACCCCTACGACACCTCACGGGCACGATGGAGGTGCGCCCAGCCCCGGCATTCCTTCGGGCAGCATCTCGACCTGTTCGCAACCACACGCTGTGAGGAGACTTGCCCTTGCAACTCCTCGCCGCGCGGGCTGGGCCTCCGCCTGCAGCGGCGTCAAATCAACCTCCGGCACCTCGAGCTCCACGCCAGCCTGTTCACACCCCCACCCCAGCTGTGAACGAGGCCTCACACACCTCTGACCGTCTCACCCGCGCCCCCCCGCCCCCGCCTCCAGCTGCGCCACGGCCGCAATCGCGTCGAGCGCTATCGGGGCGGGAAAGAGCGGCGCGCCGATAAGCGGCACCGGCAGCGCCGCCGTCGCACCCGCCGCCATCGCACCCGCTGCCGCCGCCGCCGCCGCCGCCGCTGCGAGTTGCTGTGGTTGCGGCTGCGGCGGCTGCGCAAGCGGCGGCTGCGGGGTGGGCAGCCGCTGCGGCGGCGGCGGCGGCTGGAGCTGCGGCAGCAGCGACGCCTGCAGCGGCTGCATCTGCGGTTGCTGCATCGTCTGCTGCGGCTGCGGCTGCGGCTGCTGCGGTGTCAGCGCCTGCTGTTGTGTCTGCTGCGGCTGCGGCGGCTGCGGGAGAGAGGAGGAGGAGGTGGTGGCTCCGCCGTGCGGGGGCGACATGCCGCCGATGCCGCGCCCCTTGAGCTTCAAGACGATGCCTGCGCACAAGTGTCGTCTTCTGAGGGGCTAGCCTCGCCCCGCTGCCTCGCCGTCGGAGAGGTCGTGAGGAGGCTCGCGATGCGGAAGGGCTGAGCGAACCATCTCGGCTACACGTCGGCTACGTCGGCTGCACCTCGGTCACACCTCAGTCGCATCTCGGCTACACGTCGGCTGCACTCGGTCACACCTCGGCTACAGCCACTTCTCGGCTACAC